AAATCGTGAAATAGATTCTTTGCGTCCCCCAAGTTTTTCGCCCTCGAGTCGTCCCACGTGGTAAATATCAAAGATGCCCTTTATGAGGGTGACGTTTATTCGTCGCGCTTTCATCTCGACGTAGGCGTAGAACCCCGGGAAGCACTCTCATAATTCTCTCTCGGGTCCGCGAGTTTTTTTATCGTCATCACGACGGTGATTAGAGCTTACCGCCCACATATCGATAATCGTTATCGTTCCGTCCTCGTTTTCGTCAGCTTTCGTCGCGCGCTCGGACGAGCGCCGCAGGTGCGCGAGGCTTAATCGAGCTTCCAGGACTCGGCTAATAATTAATTTACAAAGCCGACTCGAGCCGATATACACTCTCCTTTTCTCTCGGACGTTTATCACCGCGACTACGGGACAATAAGGCTGCACCGTCCACTTGGGAGTTCTCTCTCTCTCTCTCTCTCTCTCTCTTTCTCGTGCCTCGAGAATGATTCTCGGTAGTAAAAACCTTCGGAGCTGCGAATAATCGTCGACTTCGTTCATCGAAAGATCCTTTTACTATCGAGAATTCCCCATTCAAGAGCCGGAAGCTCTCAAGTGGATATCAGGCTTGATCGAACGGCGAGACTCGAGATGATGATAAAACGAGACGAACTCGTATTGCATTAATATTTAACTACGTCGCGATTTAGCTTACCCGATTGCAGCTTACTCGCTCCAGGGCGGACTCGACTCGCTCGAGGATTTTTCTTTTTTTTTTTTTTTTTTTTGTTCGGGAATGAAACGAAGCCGGAAGTGGCACACTCGAGTCGCGCTTTTCGCGGACTTTTTCGTACAGCGAAAAAAAACTCTAAAAGTAAAAAACTCTCCATTCCACGCGCGTTCTCTCGTCTCTCACTCACTATCTCTATCTCTCTCTCTTTCTCTATTTCATTCTCGTCGTCGCTCATGCGAGAGAGCTCGTCGCGAAGAATTTTGTAGTACACTTTCTTACTTTGTTTACGATACGTGTCGACGACCCTCCGCTCCCCCTCCCCGTTCGCTGATAAAGGAATAATTAAAAGGCGCTCCCCGTATATCGTGTATGGAGATATCAGTTTTATATTAATTTAACCACTCTTTCTTTTTCTCCCTTACCTTCTTCCTCGCTCACCATTGTCAGTAGTTATTTGCGTTCATGTATGTTTACTGTAAAGCTGTCCACACTTTTCGTTAACACCTGTAGAACCTGTACAGGTGCATACACATACTTGTATTAATTAGGTTTACTTATGTGAAGCGCGCGCACATCGTTTATTATGTGTTACGAGCGCATTGATATTATTATTATCATTATCGTTATTATTTTTAATTGTATTATTATTATTATTATTATTATTGTTACTATTTTAATTACGACCTCGAGGCTCGCAGAATCGTACGCGCGTCTCGTCTCTTCCTGTGCCTTAATGATTTCTTTATCCTGTAATTATTATCGGTATATATCAAGTAAGTGCGAGTGATATTAATAAAGATTGATTCGATCGTGTGAGTCACGAGACGACGAGAACGATGATTCTCGCGATGATTCTGCGTGCCCGGTGCTCCCGCCTCTGGTCTCTCTATCACTCTTTCAAACGGTTCCGTACTTATTGTTCGGACGCGTCAACGATTATCATTTGTCTGTAGAGCGTAATTACTACCCCTGGCAACAAATAAATTATTGTCGTCATCCTTTGTGTTCCCTTCGTAAATTTCTTTGTTCCCACGTTCATTTATATATAAATATATATACGATTATTATTTTTTCTTCTCACCCCTATATATATCGTTGTTAATTAAATCGGTTCTCATTTCGTAATCTCGATTCTGTAAATATCTTGCTGTTGAAATATTTTATTGATACACATCGCGCACGTTTACGCGTGCACGCAAGAACCGATTTAATCGGCGCGATCACCTATGTGAACGTCTTCTGCATATTACACCTATTTCGGTCGCATTCTCGTACCACGTTCTGCTTGTGTCACGGTAAGTGCTGCAGAATTTTGTTGCTCTCTCGACCATCGATGATCAGCAATCGAGTTCTGTGTTGTCTCTTTTCTATATGTAACTTGACAAGCCGCACTTATGCGCGCGTAAAGCACAATTGATGACATTAGATGTTGATCGATCGGCCCCCGATCGATAATTAGCAGTCCCGAGACGTAAACTTGATCTGGCACATAACTAGATATATTACTTTCCGAGCCGCAAGTTGCGACAACGCCGACAGCTCCGGTCGGCTGCGACGACGCGCGTGCTATCGATGAGGATCGCAAAAGTTTGTCATCTCTCCCTAGTATGAGGAGCGTATAATACGCTTTTTCGAGGCCAAGAGAAATTTAACGAAATTAATCAAAAGGCGCAGTGGGGGAAAGGAATCGCTTTATTCATAATGGGGGTCAGGGGGTCAATGGAACCCTGGAAAAGAGATTACTCCATCTTCACTCGGGTACACGCGCGCACACACGCACACACACATACACGCAGTTGCCTCCTTTCGTAAAACCGGGACCGGATTAAGGGGGCAACGAGAGAATAATCGCTTTGTTATTAATCACGGAGTTAACGGAAAAATGGGGAAAGGCTTATCTTGTCTCTCACCTCAATGCATATATATATATATACATATGTACACGCACATGTACACGAACGCGCGCGCGCGTGCGCGCACATACACTTTCGAGGCCAAGAGGATGACGCAAACCTCTCTGTCTCTCTTTACCCCCGCATGATACCGATGATCAGGATCGGGCCAGAGCGATACGGACGAGGCGATGGCGACGGCAGCTCTTCTGCGGAACAAACCGAGCCCGGGCTCCACGACCCTGGAGGACGTACTCGACTCCCTCCTGGGGCTGCCACCCGCGTCGCGTACCCCGAGTCCTGGCCCGGGGGGGCCCGTCGTGACCGCCACGTCCGCCATCCGCCATCGCCATACGAACGCCGCCGTCGGCCAGGCGAAAGCCGGGAACAGCTGCAGCGACCTACGCCAAGACCTCCAAGGTAGGAGGACTATGTAAGTTTTCGTTCTGATCGGCGGATCCTACACCCAAGGACGATCAATCTCTATAAACGTACGAACCTCTCCTACCCGCGTACCCCGAAGAGCGTGCGCGTCGAGAGTGATCCCTGGAGGAATCTTACGCAAGCGGCAGAATTCCGAGAATTCGATACCGAACATACCCCGTTCTCGGTCTCGTTAATTTTGCACCGAAAATTTATTGGACTTTCGTCCGCGAAGGGGAGGAGGAGGAGGATTCTTTTTTTTTTTTTGCTTC